CCTACTGCCTGTCCTGCGCGTCTCACATTTTCCTTCCTAACAATCTAACCAAGTAAAGGCTTAGTCCTTTGCCACAACCTCACCTCGGGTGAGTAATTAGATAGCAGCTGTTCTGATAATGCTAGAAGATAGTGATCCAGTGCTTCCTTGAGACTCTGGTGGACAGAAAATCCAGGACTGGATCGGTGCTTTTCTGTAGCACATTCTTTCACAACGGTTAAAAAATCCATCTTGTCAAAAGTTGTCTGAAGAAACAGTTCTTCTACTTGTGAAAATGAGGATTCTTCTTTATCTTTTTGGTGTTGCTCACTTGGAGAAAGTAAATTTTATACACGCATTTTTTAAATTGAAAATCAAACTATCATACTATTTTAGAAGTACATTATAAATGAAAACATCTGTATTATTCAGACTAATAATAGATTATTGTTCCTTTAAATGCTTCCCTTCTCTGAATTTTGGTTCCCACTTTTATCAAATTTCATTATTCTGTAGTATAAATTACTAACAGACAAAGGGAAAAAAGTTAACAGCAAATTCAGAAACCAAGAAACAAACATTAGTACTACAATAACACTGAGGCTAAATGTATTCGGAAGCACTCCTTTTTTCCACCTTTGCCTTATCTAAAATATAGGATCCTTATCCTTTTCATTTTATCTCCTTCATTATATGAAGTTAGGAATCTGCACTAATGAGTAATTTCTAATCAGTGACTATACATCAGCCTTCTAAATCAATTAAAATGAAGTTTTTGAGATATAATTTTGTTCCCTTTATCATAAATCATGTTGTATTTCTGAGGCTAAAGCATGGCCAAATTTTAATTGACATATAGAAATAATTAGCCACACCTTTAAAATCTCACTCCACATAATTGTTTCTATTCTTAACTTCCCATCAAAACCACTCAATTTCTTCTATGGGCAAATGGCACATGCTATACTCTAAAGCATTAAAAAATAGAAATCTAGATGTAAAATTATAGAACATAGATCACAATCACTGAATTAATAGAATATCTTCCCTGGATAATAGTGGTGATTTTCAGTGCATAATTATTAGGATGCAATGATGACCATGCTGAAATTATCAGCTATTTTTATTAAACCTGTATCTTAAAAACATCCAAGAACTGTGTTACATACCATTCTGGGACACTTTGGAAAAAAATCATTGCAGCTTTACAGTTTTTCAGAGTGAGACTCACAAGAATTTTCTCCACTGAAAGGTGAGGAAACTTACTGTAAAGAAAAATAAAAAACATCTTAAAACAACAAAAGTTATTTAAAGAACTCTTTAAACTTAAATATTCAAATTTGGCTATGTAGAAATGGACCTCTAAAATGTGGATCCTCAAATTCCTTTCATTTGTACTGAATTCCCTAACACCTGAAATGAAAGAAGGAGTATTCACTCCAGTACTGTGCTTTCCAACACTTCCTGGAAGCACAGTGAAGCCCACTTCAGACTATGAAACGAAAGTGAACGCACTTTAAGAACCCTAAGGTCTGTTCTCTAATCATGCTGCTCAAATGACCACCTGGAAATTTCCGTTCAATGGAACATTAAAGTGGGAAAGCTGCTCCTCCAGGCCCGTTCTGTCTCTTGTTTCCTTGCCCCAGGAATGTGATACCAGGAGCCATCAGATAACAGGCTCAGATGGACCCGTCCACAGATAAATCAAAAAGGATCGTATAGTGCTTAAAGCACTACAAGCATGTTCTTCATGCATATCCCCCTACTGGTCTATGCGGAGAACGGAACCCTAAAAATAGAGAAAGTTTAATAACTACAACTAGCTCTTGGGAAGGTGCCCAGTGAAGTGCTCAGCTGCTAACTGAAAACCCGGCAGTCTGAACCCACTCCATCAGTCAATGGGAACAAACCTGGGGAATTGCTTCCTTATGGAATTCTGCAGAGAAAACCCTGGGAGGCAGTTTATGGTGCCCCACACAGTTACCATGTGTTGAAAATGTACTCAGGGGCACCTAACATCTGTAGCTATCAGAAAGCCCAGGCAATGGCTGTGAAATAAGGCCACCTGGAATCAAGTAAGTGAAGGAGCAACATGCACTGAACTGCGATCACCTGAGAAGAACGGGGGGCAGCTCGGTAAGGTCTTCTAAGTCATCCTCTAACTGATAGAATAAGAGCCATTTCATGATCCTTTCTCTTAATGAAAAACTTCTATTCACTTCACAGAGATGCTGCTCTCGGCCTGCTGTTACTCTTTCAGGAATTACAGCTATGGTGAGTGCCACTGCCAAGCAGCATACTGCAGGGCTACAACAAAACAAAGAACTATTGTTAAAAGTAAGCTCTTCGAAGAACAGACAACTTGACCTATCTTATTTATCACCCACTGTGCCTCCAAAGCCTAGCACAGCAGTTGGGCCACATGGTAGGAACACAGTACACTTTTGCTGACAAAACAGAAAGACATTGTAAAAAAAGTTTTTTTACATACATTTAAGGAGATACTTGATTAAGAATGACCTTTTATAATATTAATCAGGACTAATGAGAAATTATGAATAATAAACAATTTAAAAGAAATTCAAACTCTAATTCTTTAAAATTGATTATTTGGTAGCATCTCCCCACATTTAAAACTAAATTCACATTTCTTCATTATTAAGTCTTCCTGGCCAAACAGAAAGCTTCTGAAATAGAATTTAACATATGTCTAAAAGAAGCAACAAACTTCCAAAATTGATGAGTGGGAAGTATATTTGTGTATGTGCATAAAACCTGACGTAAGGACATACTCAACTTACCCTGAAGGTTTGCAGGCTGACCCAGTAAATAACTGCCAAAACTCTCTATCAACTTCAACTAGATTGCCTTTAATTATGGCTCCAAGTAAGCCAAAGTTTTCAACTTGTATTTGTTCAGAACTTATACCTCGAAAGGTAATAGAACAAATTTTCATCCAGAGCTTCAGAAGATCTGACTTTTGAGAGCTTTCGAGGTTTAAAGTCTTGCCTTGACACAGAGCAACTTCCATAAGGCATCGTAACACGTATGGTGTGCGTTCCCCACGTCGTTGTTGAGGTAGAAGCTGGGAGAGTATTATCAGTAATGGTGTTAGCTCACAGTTAGGCAAACTTGTAGGGTACTTTGATATTAATTGTGTTGTAATCTGTAACCTAAAAGAAAAAGTAATTAGAAATTATTCAGTCTGTTGGCAAGTACAATGAAAAACAAACAAACAAGCATGATGCCCCGTACAATATTATAATTAATGCATCACTGTCATTATTCTACATACCAAGCTAACTGAACCCACTACCTTCAAATTAATTTCAACCCACACCAACCTCATACAGGATTTGAGATGGGAGCAGAAAGGCTCATCTTTCTTCCATTAAGTGGCTGGAAGGTTGGAACCAATGACCTTGGTAAGGTTAGCAGCTCACCCCCTATCAGGAGTGCCACTGGAGCACTTTCACCATTCTCTGTAACAATGCCATCAAATCAATTTTGACTCATAGTGACCTCCTCACAGGACACAGTAGAACTGTTCCCTAGGATTTACTAGGCTACTGATCTTATGGGATAGGATAGCTTCATTTTTCTCCCATGGAGCTGCTAGTAGAGTTGAACTGCTGACCTTATGGTTAGTAGCCCATGCATAACCTATTACTCCACCTGGGAAGCTTCATCATTTTCTATAGTACTCCCCACCAAAAACTAGCTTTTAATGTTCACCAAGTTCTACCTCCTAAAGTGGCAAGAAGACAAACTTTTTAGCTAGCAGAGTAAGCGATTTTACTTAAATAAAACATTAATTAATAATTAAATCAGCAACATTCTAAGTTACCTCACATACGCCATTCCTCTTCAGCTAAAAAACATTAAAATGCTCTAAGGATAAAAAACAAGGAAAAAATCTAATTTCCTTGACATTAATTTAGTTAATCCAATAAATATTTGTTGACTTCTCTAGAATAGATGCTATTCAAAAAGAGGAACCTTAGCCTATTCATCTCTGTACCCCTAATGCCTGACACACAATAAAGATTCAATAACTAACTCCTGACTAAATGGGTAGTTAAAGAATCTGGAATAGGCACCTTCAACTAAGCATAATACACATGATCTTAAGTAAAAGGTACCTACATCAAAACATAACTAAATTATATTTCAACATTCCATCAACCTGGTAAAAATCAAAAGAGCAATGAACACAGAAGCTTAATTGTAATTCACAATTTTCTAATTGTCTTTAAGTAAACTGTTTAATCTGCCTGGGGTTTGGCTTTCTTTTTGTAAACATGCTGAATGGATGAATTCTGAAGGTCTCCACTGGACTTAGTATGACCTGTTATATTATATATGAGACTGAAGAAGTAAATGCTAATGACCTTTTATCATGGTAGTAGGTCAAAATTATTACATAACTTCTGAAGGCTATTTTTAGTTTCTTCCTAATTCTACTCTGCATGCTAAAATCTCTTTGAGTTGTATACAACGGAGTGACTTCCGTGAAGTAATAGATGTGAGGCTTCATTTTGAGGTGTTGGAAATTTTCACTATTTACACAGTGTAGTAAAAATACCAAAAAGTCACTGATTTGCTCAGGCACAGTGGCCCGTGTCCTGTACCCCAGCATCAGACAAATCATAGTGGCTGACCTCAATATGAATGGCAGTCCCATTCCCCTTCACAAGGGATTGGTTTGGGAGTAAACAAATGACCTAATTCTGGCCACTGAGACGAAAGGAGCTGCTAGAGGTCTTGGAAGCAAAGTTAAATGAGACTAAAAGGTTATTAAATGAAACAATTTCACTACCAAGGCACAAGATGAAAATCATTCTGTGATTTCTGAAGATGATCTTTAATTACTTCCCAGCCAGATTCGATTCTCCTCCTTTTGCAAGGTGTACTGCAGTCACTAAATTCTCTTTGTGTAGTAGTATAAGACTGAGAAATCTCCAGAAATTGGGTATTTTCATTAAAAACCTAAAAAAATAACAAAAGAAAAAAATGTTTTTTCTGATAGTGTTTTTTAATACGTCATCTAGAAAAAAAAAGTTACTCCTGAACTAAAAATACAAGTCAGTCATAAGGAAGAATAATAAATTACAAAAATATACAGTATACAGGTATACCTTGGAGATTTTGCAGGTTCAGTTCCAAGCCACAGCAATAAAGATACAAAGCAAGTAATATGAATTTTTGGTGTTCTAGTACATATAAAGGTTATTTTCATACATCCTGTAGTCTATTCAGTATGTGCAACATTACAGAAAATAGGGTAAAAAGTATAAAAATTACCAAAACGTGACAAAGGCATAAGTTGTTGGGAAAATATTGACAACAGACTTGCTCACCGCAGGGTTACCACAACCTTCAATGTGTAAAGCTGACGCACAATAAAACGAAGGGCAATAAAGTGAACTATGTCTGTATCAGTATGATAATACAGTGAGAATCAAATATACTGAAATAAATACAATGGCTCTTTAAAAGGAGGTGCTATAACAAGTAACATACCAGTTTTATTTCCTGGAAACATTTACTAAAAGCACCAACACATCTAAAAGTAAATCAAAGCCTACTTTTTCAAAAGGACGAAATCTTTAATTTGTCATTATGAAAATGTTTAACGTAGTAAAATTACTATCTAGGACTGTTAACCAAATCTCTGGGAAGAAATTTGTA